CCAGCTACCACCGGGGCAATTGTTTTTTTCACGTAAAGGCCTTCACACACAAAATAACGTAACGACGTAAGACGTAAGCGTAAGGAAACCAACCAATCAGAATCTAGTACTGTCCCCTCCACTTTTGTCCGTAAGACGTAAGCCGTAGTGGCGAAAAATATCGTAAGGATGAAATCGTTAGGGCTTACTTCTTACGGACAACCAATCACAAACCTTCTCGCGTTCTCGCTTAAAAGAACATTGTTTATACGTGAGACGAGTGGCTTTGATGTGCTTTGATATTGAATAAAACCAGCAATGAGTAGCAAGCAATGAGTAGCGATCATAAGCAATATTGTTCAACAGTGTATTGTAATAAATAAAATTATAGTATGTACAATGACGATACATTTTGATAAAAATGCGCAATTCTTTTTTGAGTGTGATTGGCCGTAGCTTACTTAACCTTACGCGTGTGGTGTGCGATGGTGCTTACTGATTACGGCTTACGGTTACGTCTTACGTCGTTACGTCATTTTGTGTGTGAAGGCCTTAAGCTGTACGATGCACAGATGTTTCATTGTGATTTCCTAAGTTACCAAACTAACCTGCTTATTTGCACCGATCCAAAAATCACCCACTACGTGAAAACTCGCATTCGCTCCGCTGTTGAAGAAAATAGTATGTGAACCGCGAGAGAAAACGGGCGTTTGTGCCTTGGATAAAGTTGAGAACCCCTGGGCTTCGCCTCGGGAACCTCAACTTTATACGCGGCCCAGAAACGCCCGTTTTCGCTCTCGGTGCACAATATACTATTCTTCAACAGCTGAGCGAACACGAGTTTTCACGTAGTGGGTGATTTTTGGATCGGTGCAAATAAGCAGGTTAGTTTGGTAACTTAAGAAATCACAATGAAACATCTGTGCATCGTACAGCTTACGTGAAAAAAACAATTTTGTGTGTGAAGGCCTTAAGCTGTACGATGCACAGATGTTTCATTGTGATTTCCTAAGTTACCAAACTAACCTGCTTATTTGCACCGATCCAAAAATCACCCATTACGTGAAAACTCGCATTCGCTCCGCTGTTGAAGAAAATAGTATGTGAACCGCGAGAGAAAACGGGCGTTTGTGCCTTGGATAAAGTTGAGAACCCCTGGGCTTCGCCTCGGGAACCTCAACTTTATACGCGGCCCAGAAACGCCCGTTTTCGCTCTCGGTGCACAATATACTATTCTTCAACAGCTGAGCGAACACGAGTTTTCACGTAGTGGGTGATTTTTGGATCGGTGCAAATAAGCAGGTTAGTTTGGTAACTTAAGAAATCACAATGAAACATCTGTGCATCGTACAGCTTACGTGAAAAAAACAATTGCCCCGGTATTAGCTGGTCGTTGGATTCGTCGGCAAATGTCACCTCACTCCTATTCAATTTTTCAACCTTCCACGTTTCCCCATTCGAGAATGGCCCGTTTTCGCTCCTCCCGAGCGGAGCAAAAACGAGCATTTTCTCTCCGCTGTTGAAGAAAACATATTATAGCATCTAGTGACTTACTTACACATATAACAATATATCGAATAGCGCAAAGCTATTAAAATATTTTAATAATAAATAGGGTGTCTTTATCTTGTCTGCGGACTCTGGCTATAAGAATTTGAGCATCACTAATGGGTTCTTTTGCGAAAATTTAAGTGATAGTTTTACATAGACACGTATAACGATATAACACACATTCCTGTGTAATTATTCTATTTTCAATTATGAGTGGATATAAGTTCGCGTAGAAATTATATGTATAAATTTATTGTCGTCCAATATCAATTAAAGGGGTAACGACCAATAACCAAAATCGATATAAAAGAAAACCTATCTTGGTTACATTTAGTCACACATTTAGTCACGTGATTACGTGCCTAAATTTTATTTAAATTAAATTAAATGCTGTTACATTTTGGTCCGACTATTATTTTATTATTGATTAATCTATTGTTTATATCCCACCGTCGATATTAATAATTGTAAGACACAGTACGTATATCCTAACTGAGTATTTTAACCCATAAGAACTATCTGTCATGAACACGATTATGATATCAAGTTTATTTCAATTTCAACCATTTTTACAAGGCTCATTTGATTTGTTCAAAACACATACTTAAGAAATTTACTATACCAGACTAGAGCATGATTAATTACTAAAATTTACATGATCCGGAATAACTAATGGAGAGATCATCTTAAATCACGATAGGCTGCCACAAATTAAAAATATAGTGAACCACGTAACCATCCAACATACATGGTGTACTCAACTATACTAAAAGTTCAAGAAACTTTACAAGCCCAATAGTTTCCATGCAGATCAATTACAATATTAATCTAAACATAGAATAACTATACTGATTGAACAGTTATGAATATGACTATATCAATATTTCATTTGTACGTTAGCTTCGCTACTTCTGCTTGGATCATAATTTTTCTCACTAATTCCTCTGCTCTCATAATTAACTTATATTGAGTATAAAAATGACGTAATTCGTAATTTATTTAAGAAAATTCGATTGTAAAGAAAAAAAGAGCTTCTTACCACTCCCCACCAGAGCGCCTTGGCGAAGTTGTTGAAGTGTTCGTCGTCTTTCTCGGCGAGGTAAACCAGGAAGCTGGCAAATATGAGACCCAAGAAACCAATGTAGAGCGTGGTAATAAGTTCCTGAAAGTATCAAGAAAGAACACGTGCTTTTATTCTAATAATGGCTCAGGAAGAAGGCGTTTAGAAACTCATTTTTTTCCACCCCTTTCTCATGGTCTTCTGTGACTCCGCAACTTGTAACTTATGACATACTTCTTTGAGTTGAAAGAGCGACGGCTGAGTGACGAGTGGGGGCAGGTTTCTATGTGGAACAACGTCAATTTCCGATCTGCTCGTTCGTCTTTCTAAGAACTCAAAGAACTTGCGTAATCGAGTCTTCGATCGTACTTTTCCTAAGCTCTCTTCATTCAACATTTATATCCTCTCACGGCAGCGCCGCAAATGAACATTTTTCAGCCAACGATGTCAACGATAATGAACTCGTGACCGACCACGAGGTCGATGTGGTACGCGGGGTTACAATCTTATTCAAGAGTTACATTTTCATCATTTATGTTAGAAGATTAATCTCTTTCAAGAGATTACGAAATTTCCCTCGCTCAGTAATTCTTCTTTACCGTTATATAATTCACGCGAAGAAGTGACTCTGTTGGGTCTTTTCTCAACGGTACCGCATGACGTAATACTACTGACACGTGAAAAAGTTTCTTCAAAGTTGTAGGAGTTCAAGAAACACTCACGGCAAAGTTAACAGTTTTAATCAGACTGCGAATACTCGTTCGAATTAAAAACGGATATCCATTTTTCTTTTCTGTCGTAATTTTTTGAAATATTTGTTATTTTCGCTTTCGAGGTCTGAGATCGCCTAGACGAGAAACGTGATTTTTTCGCACGATACTCGTCCATGACATTTATCCACATGTTATCGATATTGATAAGACAGCCATGGCATTTACTCAATAGTCCATTCCATATTTCGAGTGCCATAACGTTTGTCTCGTGGGAGTTAAAGGAGGAGATAACATTCTTACGTGCTGTTGTAAGATTGATCTAACAGTATTTATCTTTTTGACATATGTCACTCACCTGCCTATGGGCGTAAACCACGCTTCCAAGAAGTTTCCAGGTACCACCACGTCGATCCATTCGTACCATTCTCAGAATTTGGAAGAAGCGCAGTCCCCGAAGGGCGCTTGCCGCAAAGACTTGGCCGCTGCTTCTCATCCCGAGAACGACCAAGCTCGCCAGGATTGTGATTACGTCTAAAATAGAAAATTCGTTCACGGTCTTTATTCACTTGGATTTGCGATAATTGCTATGTACATAGATCTTACGAAAGACGCTTCGATTTTTAATCGCGCCAACGGATATCCATTACGTCTCTTATCTTCGAGAGCATCTTGTTAATTAATCGCATTGTCAATTTAATCGATATCCTAGATCCTTCGAATCAGTGAAAATGGACAGGAAATCCAATCAATGATTCAGTAAATATTTCAGTTTCTAATCAACTTTCGCGGGTGTAGACTCAAACGTGATCCCAGCCGTTGTGGTGAAACACGTTTATTTACATCAACAATTGCAAACAGGAACAAAATTCTAGAATAACAGTAGTGGAAAGAAGGAAAAAAAAAAGAAAAGGAGATCAAAGAAGAAAAGAGAAGAAACGAGGAAAAAGTGTAAAGAAAAAATGAAGTTAATGTAATAAAAAGAGAATATAAAGAACCACGAAGAAAGAGAAAGTGGAAGGTACTCGGTTGAACACGAGCTATGAAACCGGCACGTCTTAATTAGTTCGTTATCACTCGTGGTGCGCTAATTGGAGAAGCACCTTGTACTGCCTCTTCTTCTTTCACCTTTCTTCCATTTTTTTTAACTCTCTCGAGCTTACGCGTGGGTTATTCACACGAGCAAGAACTCAAAGCGAGGAGAAATTCACACCAAAAAATCGAATCACGGAGTGCACTCTGAATAATTTATTGTATTTGATTCAATGAAAGTTTTCCGATAGAACTTCGGTTCCTGGGGACTCCTGATTTTTTGATAATTCTTTAGAAAATTCATATGGTACAAATAAATATATAGTGCTGCGAGCACTACTAAAGCCTGAGGGTCCTACGACAGTTCTACGGCCTAGGACAGCGTGTTAAAGTATTGTCAAGTACGTCACGCATGTTTTCACGCTTTGCCACAACGCAAAGCAGCACCATCGCTCAGAAATTCGCCGATGACTACGGTTCCTCCTTAATTTTATATTCTCACCGTCTTCATAATTTACGTGATTACTCAATAAAGTGCTGTCACATTATCTGAATGCTCATTTCTAGATATACTTTGTGTAAAGTATGTTACTTTTATGGAATCAAAACAATGTTTTGCCAACGTTTCGAAAAGGTCAACCCATTAGACAGTGTCTCTGTTATCCTTAGAGTTTATTTTTAGTCTACGTTCACGGGTAGGTTAGGTCGGTTAAAGTTTGGTTTGGTTATATCAAGGCACCGACAGACAAGGCATACCAAGCTTTGGTACGGTGATCTGATGTGAGGTGAGGTTCGACAAGAACGGGTTAGGTTAGGTTAAGCAGTATTGTTTTCCCGAGACGAGCAGCCACGAGAACGAACCATCTCGAGTAAAATCTGGGTCATAGATAATGTCACTGGTGATGAGTGGTTCCTGTCCAATTAGCAACCTCAACCCGAGGGATTGCAATTAAATTTTTTCATTCCTTCTTAGATGGCAGCACGGCTAATTAGCTCCAACTATACATTCTTGGTGATTACTCTTCAACACTGTTGATGGCCCCCATCCGCACAAACTGCACAGCCTATCTGATAGCGACGGATCTTTGGCGGTTGGTACGTTCTACGTCCCTGATAATTGATAGACAACCTAGCAACGAGTTAACAACTACAACTGGCTAACATCTGGCTAACAAGAGCTGCTTCCTGGGGTACGTTCAGAAATTTACTGCCAGTACTACGATTATCGTCTCCTCCCTGTTTATCTGCATGTAGCTAAGTGAGACAAAGTTATACCTGCAGTTCCGACAGTAAATTGCAAAATTTACCCTTAATAAGGGATAAGAAGAAGCGTACTAATCCGTAAAATATAATTTCAGTATCTTTGTCCATGTCTTGCCGTGATATCTGTACCGAAATTATTCGAAGTCATTTCGAACAGTTTCATCTCGCGTTCTAATTTTGTTCGAGCTAGAAACTGATTAGAATAGCTGGCTTAATTAGTGTCTGAGCTGAAGCTCAATATTGGGAATTTCAAGGATGGGATTGGGGTATCTTAATTTTTTATAATTAATTTTTCATGAGATTACAATCAAAGAATTATTAACACTTGTAATTTTGGCATGGTCGATTCTTGAGTATGGGTCCGTGTTATTTGAACCAGATATTTTTTTTCTTACAAGTAATGTCTCAAGCTGTTTAATTAGCTAGATTCGATGGTTCGATAAAGACAATCGAATAGTAGATATTAAAGCATAAAGCCAATAGGATGAAGAAGAAGAAGAAGAAATAGTAGATATGAATGTGATTAATAAATCATTATAATATTTCTTTTATTTCCTTTATGTGTTAACAATCACGTATTCCTAACGAATTTCAGATCCGATACTGTCAATTTTGCTCAAATGTCTGTTTGAATTTATTCCTAAATTATCAGATGTTAAGAATAACTGGAAAAGGTCAGGCTTGAATTGAACAGAATATTTCTAGATGTAGATAATATAACTAATTTTAATAAAAGCTCTCTTTTATAACTAATTAGATGTTTTTACAATAAGCTAAGTATAATGTTAAATGAAAAACTTTTACCAAATTAAAAAATGAATAATATTAATATCCTGTTAAGTACAGTTTAATTAAAATATCCAATGCCACAGTAAAAGTCGTCTATTCTATAAAAGTTTTGCGGTAAGCAAATTCGGCCGTCACTTATGCCAAACTCGTATAAGAGTTCTATCCTAACATTTTTTATTATGAAACACAATATCTATATGTACTTATGTCAAACCCTAATTATTTTCCTATAAAAATATCAAATGACGATTTCAAATGTTGTAAATAAAATCGCAAATACATATATCTTCAACTTACTAATTGTACGAACTTCTACTGTTCATAGGGAGTCAAGTATAACCATTCACTTATGGTTTTTCAAAATCCGTACAGAAATACTTAAATAAAACAAAACCTGCCAAAATAAAAAATATATTGTATACATATATACATATTAATGTTCCTCATGCAATAATTGTATTGCGATGGTCTCTCAGCATTTTTTAACCTTTCAATAATATTTCTTAAATCCCCATCTCTACGAATTCAGAATTGATAAAAATTGGTGAGTGCCGATAGTATCCGTGGATTCCGAGTGATACATCCAATAAAAAACAAAGTTCGATAAATTTATACGAATAGTTGATTTAACAAATAAACTATTACTTTTAATTACTCACCCTCGACAGTTTCAGGACCGTACCCTTACGATAGCACGGTGCTGAAAAATCGTAATAAATCGCGAAAAACGCAACTTCCGTGCATTGCGGACCGTCCATAACGTCCATACCGCGGTGGTCATGGCCCGATAGGCACTGCGGTAATTCTATCGCGTCGCGGTACTGCGCACGCGCTAAGTTCAAACGCGCTTCGTTAACCCACCCTCAACCTGCGACCCGTTAGGGGCACTGTAGCGATTAATATGATAACTCTACGTCAACCTTAGAATTCGTAGTCATTGCACGACACTTTGCCGCTCCTCAGTTACATTTTAATTATGTAGTATTTGCACGGCATTTGTTAATTCGTGTCCTATCCGCATTTATTGTGCAATTCTCCATTCTTATGGGTTCAACAACTAAATTTGTTTTAATGACGAAATGCTGTTATCGTATACCATCCTGTGCAATAACAGTATGATATAGCATGATACAAAGGGTTAACACGGTAAACTGTGATATTTTTCCGAAAGGTTGTTATTTACGTAATGGCGGGAGTATAGGTATAATCAAAATAATATGAGGTAACCCAAGTCAAAATTTGAGACCTTCTTTAAGATCTACCTTTTCGAGTGATTTAGGCTTTCCAATTCAGCAGGCCTCGTACGTTTTGGACAATGCTTAAATTGTATTTACTAATGGAACGACAAGCAGTACGCGAGCCCTATAAACCCTGCGTTTTACGCAAATGAAAATTCGACTTTAGTCAGGTCTCAAGTCACCCCTATTTAAGCGCTATAAGCCTTTGTAGGTTTAATAAACCTTAGGTATATCGAATATTCGTGTCGACATGTGCGTTTATAAAGGAGTAGATTGTGCAGAGGGCTTAGTTAGATCTTAGATCTCGACTTGGGAAGATACATCAGTCATGAAAAAATATTAAGTAGTTTAAAAATTTGTTAATTTAAAAAAATTATATTTTTGCTATTTCATATTATTTAGTAAATTAAGTACAAATATTTTAAACATGAACCGCGCAAAAGTTTCTTTATATGAATACGATGAATTTAGTTATTTATAAATATTTCAAAATAGTAACGTGCTATGCCAGAGATATAGTCAGATTAATTGGATTAATTAATTAATGTGGAATATAGGAAAAAACATAATTTTTTGTTATATAAATTTATATCTTTAATAGATCAATTTCTATCTCATTAAATATATCTCGAATATACGTAAAGTATATTTTACATAAATTTTGCTGTATTTTACGAGGAAGCATATATCCTACGCGTACATATTCTGTAGGATACATGTAAGTCATAAGTGCGACCTGAAAAAATCATCATAGCACTTTTTATAAACGTTAAGATACGGAACGAAAAATTACGCGCAAAAATATATCCGCGTGACAATATATCTGAAAAACAGAATAACCGGCACATGTAGTAAGTATATAAAATATACAGACATATTTTTGGTAAACGACAATGCGGCAAAAAATGGTATATTCAAGATATACATAATATTAATAAAAAATACATATTTTTTACTATATTCCAGCGATATGACGTTTTTATAAAGAAACTTTAACCCTATCGTAAGTCAATCAAGTGGAGCTAGTTAGATTATAGCTTCATCCCTTTTTCATTGCACATTTGCATATTCCCCATAATTTTGTTCGTAACAACTTTTCCATCACAATCAATTTTGGTATTCGCAGTCTGGAACAAAATTACAACGAATAACGAACTTACTTAAACTTGGCACTTCCGATATTCACAGGTCCTCTTTTCTTTTCTTTTAATTTTTCTTCATCGTTGATAAGCTTTTAATAACCGCCGTTCCCTTTTGATTACCATTTTCTGTACAATACACCATTTCAGTTTTCCATTTTCTGAGTTCCCATTAATTCTATTTTTCCTTTCATGCCTTCTCTGTGCCTTTTTTCACCCAGTCTCTCTCGAAATATGAATCTTATATAATGATTTCACTTTAGCACAAATACTTTGTTATCTCATTGACCTCCTTGTCAAGTCGGTATTTGACAATGATAACATAGGTAAAAGAAAATTCTATTATTCTTTCTCCAACTAAGGTGTAATATACTCAGAAAATATAAATTATACTCAATGCATTTTTGTTGTATGTTATATTGAGCGTATTTTGTTAATTCAAGTATCCCTATTTATACTAAAATAAATTACAGAGGCAATTTAATTTTTATACCTCCTCTGCTATCTTTTTCCTCCTTCTTATTGTTTCATAGAGATTTAGATACCGGAAAGTAGATGCTGACACAACATGGCATTTAAAACAAAAAATAGACAACGAAATTGTCTCTGTATTTTAATCAGACAGAAAAGTCACGAAATTAGATCAGCATGTCAGGATCATAATGTTAACTTCGCCTTGGCCTAACTCGGTCGAATATAGTCTACAGTTTCTTCAGTTATAACTGATAAATAGAGGAAAAGGTCAGTTTAAATCTCTATTTTTCTATAAGGATTCGTCCCCTTTCACGAATTGAATCATTGCAATGAATAAGTGATGTTAGGAAAATAAAACCTTCAGACCTCAATAACATGAAAATTACTCTAGCGATTGTTTGCCCTATCTATTATACGGATAGTATTACCTCATTATAAACAAACTCATTAGAAGCAAATTCTCCTTAGCTCCGCTTGGTCAAGCTTTACACCTTCCTCCATTTAAACTCTGTGCATCAGAAACACCTAACGTTTGTGCATACCTCTCGTTATAATGGAATAAGCGATTACGTGAAATCATACGTGTTTCGCTTATAACGAGGAGAGGCGACGCTTAAGATACCACTTAAGCCTTTCACACACACAATAACGTAACGACGTAAGACGTAAGCGTAAGGAAACCAACCAATCAGAATCTCATAGTGTCCCCTTGAGGGCTTACGTGGTATCCGCGATTCCTGAGCTCGTTGTGTAATGAGGGGGACTCCAATTTTTTAAAACCCTATACCAATAACCTAACATTCACTTACACCGAGCTATAGTCGATCCACGAGTTCGATGTTTTGTTTTGACAGGTCTAAAGCCAATGGAGTCTCTAGCAAGGCACACTTGTCACTGCATAAAATGTATGTTACGAAGTATGGATACGCGTGCTTTTGCACTAAATATATTTTATTTTTAGATTTTAACATATATTTATGATATCTTATAAAAAATCAAATGTGATTTGCTAGAGGGTTGCATTGCTTGCGAACTATCAAAAACCAGATTGAACTCGTGAACCGACAATGGTACTGTATTACGTATTTCAATGGAGTGAAGTACGAAATGTAGAAGGAAAATTAAAGCCAAATTAAACGCGCGTTTGTACCAGATAGTACCATGCAAAATGTAAGAATTTCGTGCATTATTATTCGGAGTAAAAAGCCAAAGGAATTTAACCAGTAGTTCGTTCCTTCCCTCAAAATGAGAAATTCAACGCTATTTGAAAAGGTAGCATTTCCATCGCAGACGAGATTATGCAATTTCGCAAGCCAAGATCGACATTAAACTTTTAACGGCTTTCGGGATATCCTCCAAAATTTCCCACTTCTCGTGGAAGCTTCGAGACGTGGAAATAAAGTGAAGACTAGCGTGTAGGAGAAACAGGGAAAAGAAAAGGTTAAAAGAAAATTGCTTCGAAAATATCCAAGTGGGTGATTCGTTGAGTACAAAGTGTTGAAGTCTCCCGTTAAATTTCACAATCTTCGGCACCAATCAAACCTTACCAAACAGGCGATTAATACGACTTAAGCTACTCACCGATTATACAGAATGGTCGACGTAGGAACTTTAATCGTCCAATCGCTGTCTGATACCGGGAACGACATCCTGATGACCATAGTCTGAAAAAGAAAAAATATTTCTCAATTTTACGTCGAATCTTTATAGAGGTTACAAAATCTAAGAAATATTGAGAAAAGTCATTATATAATGCGAATAGTTGGTAATGTAAGTATCATTTGAAAAATGAGTCTAATTGTAAGTATTACGAATGGGATAACGAAACTCCGTAAGCATAGTCATGTGCCGCCTACTGGTGAAAACATGAATGTCGTTAGAGAAGTAGTCCGTAGTAACATCAGTTTCCGTAAACCGTACCAAACTATCCGTGTAAATACAGTTTCAGGCATTCGTCTGAGCCATAATCGGTTTACACCGGACCCATTGCACATGTTTTCTAGAGTTTACCTCGCGTCCTAAACCACCACGATGTAATCTATCAGCATCCATAGTCAGTTGCATAAGCAATTAGGACTTAGCCTGAATGTATAACGCACAATTCCCATAGAGAGCATAGGCCTAGGCTCACATAAATAAAGAACTTCCTACCCGATTCTTATCCTTAAGCATAGAAATATCTAGAATTAAGACACCGCCGCATTTGCCGTGCAGTGCGCGGAAGCCTCACCCCGTTACACCACCAGGTAAACAAGATCAACCAATAGTCTCATGATTGCCGGAAGTCGAAAACCGCTTCGGGTGATACTGGCGACTCGAAATCAATCTCTTTTTTACCGTGAGCGAATTAACATCGGACATCGATGCTAGTTCGAAGACCACATGGTATTTATGGTGTGTGGGTTGAAGAATCTTGAGGGTGCAGATGTAAAAGTAATGAGTGCAGATCATGTTTCTATGGACTCTGAGTGAGGAAAAAAGGAGAGGAAATGGAAATCATCGAAGAGCTTGCTCGCAGGACTTGTACATGAAATTTAACGATGACATGCCGCACATCCTAATTCCTTGAATGTCTGGACTGTCGGATCGATAATGTCATGCGGTAAGGGTCATAATCCGTCCACTTACTTTTCCGTAGCCCGAGAGTCGCCTGATTACTGGGCCAATTTGAAATCGATAATCGGCTCGCGTACCACGGATCAACGTTATAGCTAATCGATTCTCTTCCTGAAGAAGACGAAAACTTCCTTCATTGCGCAATTCGTGGAACTCCGAAACTAGCGACTACCGAGAAGAATGAGTCCGGATGTACAGTCATTGGCCGAAGGGAAATTGGCTCGCCGCAGCTTTGATCAGGTATAATAGTTGACTTCCACTACTGACTACTATTGTATGTGTCGAGATTGAAGTTATTGTGCAGTCAGTGATCGTTGAGAATGTAATGTTGGGAATATAATGTTTGAATGTCGTAATTTGGAGCATCTTTCCTACCTATTACACCTCCCTCTACCACCCCCACGTTCCCCTTTATTTTTGTCAACTTGGTAAGGCTAAAAGTAGCCGTCGATTTCGAAAAACCGGCATAAACAATTTTATTGCGGCACGTTGGAAGGCTGATATGACACATGTAAACGACCTGAGGTCAGAGGGGAGGATTAGACGGGATTGACGTCAGAATTCAATGTGATAGAACGAAATTAGCATTACGGGATGTTAAGTCGAGTCTACTTAATATTCGCATTCGCATGGATATTATGTAATCCACGCACATTTCTGCTGTAACATTAACCCCCAGAGGCCACACCTCTTTCCAATGACCTAGAGACCACACGGGTGCAAATATGGTTTTTACTTTTTTAAATCGTAATTCCTTCTCTCTGGCTTAATCTTTTTTGATCGATAACGGTATAAAAATGGGCTAGAACTCCCCTAGGAATTTGAATATTTCATTCGCGAAAGCGTAAAAATACATTGTCACATAGATAAATAGGTTTTTTCAAAAAAGAAAAATGTTAAATTCGTTTTTTACGAAAAAGTTAGTCTTTTTTTTTTTAAGAGATAAGTCGAAGACCCTTTGGGAAAATAAAGGTAAAGACCTGTACTGAAGTGGAAAAAAATCGTTTATTCAATAATTTATAAATAACTATTTTTAACAGGGGCTTGAAATAATACTGTCGTCGTCCTCATCTACAGAAACGGCATCTTTTTCAGATTCATCCGATCTGTCAGTCTGTCATCATTTTAGATGATGAAGTTTGAGACAAAGTTTATTTCACACAAATTTATCCATTATGACACATCTGGTATTTCCAATTAGCAACTGCAGTCCGAACTAACTCAAGTATGTTCAGTTCACATCAGGTTATAATGACTTGAATGGAGTTACATCGTTTTGTTCAGCATTGAAAAACTAAAGATAACTATTCCGGTCAAATTTGACCTATTTTGGCACGCTATGGAATAAAAAATGTTTAGATCGCCCGAAAGTTAAATGTAATATCAGCAAATGGATTTTGGTTTTCGTGTATTGATTTTGTTCGTGCGATTGAAATTATTACGATACATTTTCCATAAACAGTGTAATCAAGTGATTAATCGATGGTACTCAAGGTACTCAAGTTTTCGGGTTTTGCTTAGATTCCAATAAAAAATTCAATATAAGGTATATTTGTGAACCGGCAAGAAGGCTTGACATTAGTTGGCTAAAGGTAATGATATTTTATGAAAATATATAAATCTGAATGATTTACCTCAAGCAAAATTCCAAAGTGAACCACACGACGACCACCATTTCCATGTAGAAGAGTAAAACTCCAGCTTCTTTTTCGTATTCCTCTATCGTGCTGAATACCGAAAGCACCAGGCACATGAATACCATGCAGAATCTGAAACAGCCCACAGAATTCAGCGGATTAAGTTACCTGCCATTTCAATTATTTCATAGTATTTTAACATTATATAAACTATTATCAGGCACTTCTTATATTTGTCGATACATGTACATTGTAAGATGAACATTAATGATTTATTAGATACTCGTTACAAATTACAACTGCCATATTCAACCTCCACGTGAATTATTCTAATCGCGAGACATAGTATATCAGGTGACGAATTATAACTGTTATGCATATTTTTCATTTTTTGCAATTATTTTTAGCTGTTATAGTTTTGAAAAAAAAAAACTTGCGTAATGGAGCATCATTCCAAAAGCTGGAGCCGACAGGCAAGTGTCTATAACCAAGCGTCTATTAATTTCATTTAGGAAATAAATTGTGCGCTTCCATTATTGAGTACATAATATGTATAATGGTATTTGTTCAATATTAGCTTTGTGAAAATCAATGCATTTTGATTGATTTAGCAGCACGCAGTATGTATTAGAATAAAAGCGTCTAATACTATAATGCTATGTTATGTTATGATAACAAGGACATTTTAACATAATGCAGTATATGTATACATATTGTGACGTAATCTGTGTTATATTAACCCAGAGTCAGCGCAAATTCATCTATCGCTAACGGGGAGGGTGAACACAAAGAAAGGGAACACGGGATAGAATGCAAAAGAAAGAATATAATTAACAAAGTGCCCATACAGAAAAAGAAGAGAAATAGGAAATAAAATAAAGGGATCGCTATTATAAGAAAAAGCAGAACTAAAGATACGCACTAGACTAAAACTAGATAACTCAGAAATGAAAACAATAACAAAAAGGAACAGGTTGCTCAGGAGCTCGCAATGTCGCAACAGGACTTTAAATGGTGTGCTGGGGAGGGGGAACGGAAAACGGGGAACGGACTGATGGACAAGGGGGCTGGATTGAGAGGAGGTGTTACCAGCATTAAATATTGTCAAATCCAATAATAGTTTGGGCGCCAGCTATTGTGACGGCGTCGAGCTGGCGAGTGACCCACGGTCATCGAATGTTTACTCTACACGATGACACGGTAGTTGGGGAGGAGGCGGAAGGTGTCACAGGGAGGAAGGTTCCCGAATTCAATGGCTTCTTAGGAATTACATCGGATGTACAATACTCAAAAAATGGGAATGGAGGGATGAGAAGGGCGCAAAATGCTAAACTATACGTCGCACGCAATATACTACTCGGCCTCGCATTGGGGGGCAGAAGGCCAGTCTAGAACTCAAAAAGATACTGTCGCAAAAATGCAGGTCTACGTGGGACGTCTCGCTATAATCCAGAAGGGCTTTAGAAAATATAAGGGCGCAAAAAGAAAAGGGTGTGGGGGGGGGGGAAGCTCAATCAAGCACTCAAGGTACTCACTCAAACGTATCCGCAAGACTCGATATAATCCAAAAAATTGCACACTTTCATTCTCACTCAATTCGCAAAATTCACCCTATCGCTAACGATACCCTGGCTCGAAGTGAAGAGGTCTTCACGATTCCCAGTCCTCGTTTCCCTTGACGGGCCTCCAGGCTCTCGGGGAGAAGCTGGACCGCTGAGCTGAGAAGGCTACGCGCTGGTGGGACTCTCAGGGCCTCGCGGCTGGGTGGTACGGTGGTGTCTTGACCGACTCGCTGTTATGTTGCTTACGCGCCGGGCAACATGGCATCCTCCATAGTCAGTCAAATCTCCACCCGGGCACGTCCGCGGAGTTGGAGGGAAAGGCTCAACCCTTGTCACACGGGCCTCATGACTACCCGTGTGACGGGACTGCACCGGGAACTGCACATATGTACGTCGTCAGGGTGTCTATCTGGTCTCAAATTCCCCACGTGGTGGTCGCCATCAACGGTCGCCATCAGCTCCTGCCCATGCCAACCCTGCATTCCGATAACTAGGCAACGTAACCGCTCTTTCGAACCTTTTCCGGTGGTGGCTGTTGGGTCTTGTAGATGGTCCTCGATGTCTCCGAGCCAGTGCCCCAGGGAAATGGAGTTGAAGGGGAGGGTGAAGGGAAGGGGCCTTATTCTAAATACAATGGTTTTGAAACGCTAAAAATAAACAATAAACGATACTATACGGAATATGTAATGCTTGAAGCGAGTGGTACCATCGAGCTAGGAGGCGGGGAGGAGCTGCAGTAACATTTTTGTTACAATACATATACTGTTACAATATATTCAATATACTGCTATAACTTTACTTCATGATATATCCAATATTATCATTCCATCCTATTGATTATTACAGATTAAGTGATTACATGCGTATCAATACTAAATATATAAGTTATTTACTATGAAAATAAGTGGCTCTGATTAACGTTATTGTCCTTCTATCAGCATATATTCTTCTATGCACATCGTGTATACAGGGTGAACGTTGAAGATAAAAACTCATAAATAATTTTGCATTGATATATCACAAGGTGAAAACTGGAATTCAAACTCTTAAGTAGAATAGATTATGTATGCAGTACGATTCTTACAACAGAACGTCAGAAAAGTTTTAATTTACGCGGACCATGTAGCTTAAAATATGTATATTCAGCATATGACGAGAACAGCTTTTCATTTCGCGGCACGTCATAGAGATATGCATACAAATATATATGTTTTTTTTAACTTTTTGTATAAGCTACAAATTTTATACTGTTTCTGTAGAAGCTCGACAATTTCAAGTAATAATTTAAAATTTGAATCGTATCGATGGCGTGAGTATAAAATAAAATGTTATATACAATTTTGAATACAGTAAAAAAATTGTAATTTGATAATCGGTTTTGAGTAAGTTAGCCAAACGTTTCATACATTATTGTAAATTTTTACATTTATGCTTCATATAATTTTTTGTTTTAAGACATTTTTCTAATTTTTTGCACGATATACACATCGCATGCACTACCCGATATGGGTCTAATAAGAAAAACAACATAATATGTGTATACAGATTTCTGAACAGTGGCTCATATTTTCAGATTTTCTAGTTCATCACGAGCATTCAACGAAGTAATGGTCCAAGTATTAGGTACACGAATAATCAAAAGAGTCTGTTCTGTTTTATATCAGCTTCATCTTCATACGGCTACATATATGTATGTATGAATGCCCATGTTGTATATGTATACGTATATGATAACTGACTCCACTGACAAATGAGTGTACGCTATAGTGAGTCGTTGTATAAGTTGTAATAACATAGTTCTTCTGGTGGCATAGATGAAACTGCAAAATGTAGAAAATGTGGAAGAGAAATTGTCACGTGAATTCTTTCTATTATTACGAACTACAATGCAAAAAAAATAAATAGGAACTCCAGAACTATTGTAAGAAACTACATGTTCTTACAATGGTTAGTAGCAAATGTCGCCAGATTCGGTCACTCCTCATTACAAAAGTTGAGTCGCCTGTTGGACCTCGTAAGAACAACACCTTAGACAAATCACTAAAGCCAAAATACAAATAAACGATAGGTATGATATTCCCTGATATACGAGGGTAGGGTGAAAAGTTTTTGGCCAGACCTAGAGATGGCACCAGCAGGTCTAATTTTTCGCTTTTATTCTATAGTACTATGTCTCATTAGCTTGTATATGTATAAATTTTCAGGTCGATTGCTCTGTTAGTATACATTTAAGAGCCTACTTGATCAAGACGTCTCGATTGCTTACATGAAAAAATCTTGTTTCACCATGACAACGCACCTACCCATTCATCGGCCGTTGCGATGTCTAAAATCAACGAATTCAAATTTGAATTGTTCCCCCAACCACCGTATTCACCAGATTTAGCCCCCAGCGACTATCATCTGTTTCTTAACCTTAAAAAATGGCTCAGAGGTAAAAAATTTGATAGCAAGAAAGAGGTCATCGATGCTGTAAATTAATATTTTAAGGGACTTGATGAATCGGACTATAAAAATGGTATCACTGCATTAGAGCACCGTTATGAAAAATGTATTAGTCTTGATGGAGATTATGTTGAAAAATAAAGCAAAAATAGTCGAAAAAAGTTGTTTTTCTTTATCAAGCCGGAAACTTTTCATTCCACCCTCGTACAATCAGTTTTAAAAACAACGCCTTTGGGTTTCTGTTTAAATTTCTCTACATATATAGGCGGCTGTTTAATATTCCAATTCATATCGTCATCTCGACGAACACCTAGTGACTTTACAATTAAACTGGACATCTTAAGGGGAAAACTGGTTTCGAGGAGCGTCCGATTATCGTATGGGCCTCTGGCGAATCTCAACGTAGGTGGTGTACAGTACGTAGCACATATGTGGCGAATCATTATTATTGGTAATTTATGGGTCATGTGAAAAAGTATGGATTATGAGTGCATAACTTGAGAAATGTAATAACAAAGAATAGACATAATTAAGTTATGATAACATATAGTGAGGTTATTTTCGAATTATTATTTTGTCAGCAATCATTATGAACCATTGACAGTATTTTTTACGGGTAACAAGTGAATAAATATATAAACAAAATATATCACACTGTTTCTCTCTTTATAAGATTAACTAGGCAACGGAAAGACCAAAATATACTGAAAAATTTTTTATCGACCGCAATGACAAGATAAATATCATAATATGCACAAGAATAAGAAATATATATTATTTCCAATTTTCAATATACGTATTAATATATTTCAGAAAATCTCTCTTTTCAGTTATGACTTTTTTGTTATTTATTGAACCTATACGTATATAAGAGAGTACAGGATTTTGTGATGTAATTTAAGCTCTCGTTGTTGCCTCTTATCATATAATACACATATACAATTGACATGATGGCCAATTTTATTAATAGCTTTTCAACAGCGTAGAAATGGAATCACATATCAATAGACCTTTTAATTTTCGAGGTAAAATTTCAAAAGCGAAAAGTTCTTCAGTCAAATTGGATCGGGTTGTTTCGGTTCGTTAGTCGCCATGTTGTTTTTTTTTTGACATTCGAACCTTAATTGGGACCAGATGCAGGAAAGTTTAATCGTTAGTTTGGCCGTATTTTGTAGAACAGACATCAAGTCTATACCTATATATATATGACTTATGACTGATTGGTTTTCCTGACTGAGTTCATGCCTATATGTTATACTAAACGCGATAACCGAAACAAAATACATTCAGTTATCTCAAGGATTACTCTTCGCTATCATACGTCAGTTTATGGCTTTAAGCTTTGTTAGACTCCCATAATTGATTTAATCAGTTTTTATCTTAAGTAACAGATAGCACCCATCCTATTGACATTTTTCTATCTTCTTATAATTTAATTGTACGTGCTTCTATGTAACTTTAAATCTTTATTGGTTCTAACTTTTCCCTCAACTATCATATTCCTGTCCGCTTACTTTTTAAGTTTTAAGAAATTACGATCGTATGACACAACTAAAAGTTGTCTTGAGAAAAATTTTTTTCATCATACAATTGGAGCTTTGGTTGTTGCCTGTTTTTTATCATTTCTACAAACAATGTCATAACGTTTCCATAAATATCGTTCCTGCGAAGTGGTGCAGTATAAAAACTTTTAAATGCTTAGTGCGTTAATATTAATTCTATTGATTTTCTAAAAACCTATTAAAATACAAATAAAGATACTGAAAACATATAACACAATATGATTGTCAATATGTAGAATATTCATTTCTAATATAAAATCAATGATAATACCGAGTATATATGTACTTTTGTATTATACCCATTTATACAGGATTTGTGATCCATCGTAAAAAATGTAACTCCATAAAAATATAACAAAAGCTACTGAACGTATTGGTTGTTGTAAAAGGAATCCCTGTGTCTGCCGAAGTGGAATGCTTCATTCTGTTTTTAGGATCATTGTATTCGTGTTTGCGCCCACGTTGATTATTACGGTTGTATAGCGAACGAGACCTGGGACTTTCAACGTCAGATTAACGATTTAAAAGAAGGTTCCTCACGATTTTGGCCCAGGCGACAGCGCATCAACTGAATTGTCAAAATTTTAATAAATGAGAATTTTTACTGTTATTATAGCGTTAATAAAACCAAACTGAACTTCTGTAGAATTTATATTTTGTTAGGATATAACTCGTATATCTATTATCCAACTCTGTCGTTTTAGGCACATGACGTCAAGATCTTGTACACGCGTACGGTCTGGATTGCTATTCAATGAAACAATAAATAACATTTTGTTTTACTTGTACAGAAATATTTAATTTTATGGAATTTTCCCGGGAGTATATAACACTCAAAACTGCTTGATTTTATAATTTTTCGAATAAAACTCATATTCAAAAAAAGAAAAGACTATCTCTTGAGCAATCATTCTCCTGTGTTTTGTCATTTTGCTAGTAAAATACACACAAAGAGCATTTAGAATTTTTTTTCAAAAATATGTAGCTATTAGTAATTTTTACAAAATTTTCTCTCTGGAAATATTGTTTCAGTATCTAAATTTGTATCTATTGTTTTAAAATAGTTCGATGACCTTTAAGGATGATTTCGAACGTGCCTTACCCCTTCACGTAGAAATGCGCCTAATTATCAATTTGTTCCTTATAATCAGTGCCATATTGGATGAGTTAATTTTTAAAATACAGAATATTTCGAATCACAGACATCGATTGCAAGAAGTTCAGCCTTGATATTACAGATAGATATTTTATCGATCATTCAATGTTCATGTAACCTCAGGCACTTTTCTTGGTCTAGCAAGATGCACGATATTACGACTAGGTGGACGGTAAAGGTCAATTCTCATCAAAACCCAAGATATGTAGTCTCGAAGTTGCTATAACAATTATTATACATTTTTTCATTTCGTTAACGAGGATCCACATCAATTGGACGAATAGCAACTATATAAATCCAGAAATGCAAGGAATTAATATGAAAATGAAATAGTCAAATTATACGATACAAATGTAATTATCAAACATAATTGAATAAATAAAACCGTACATAAATGTATCTAGAGGAAAGATATCTGAAACGTTATAGGGAATAACACGTCATTCATTCCATCTCAGACACCATTTCCCTAGATAAATCTTGTACTCGGAAATAGTTATATTTTTTCATCATTGTAGTCCACGTATACATTATATTATAAATACTATAATACATCGGAGTACAAGTTTACGTGGAACTTTAAATAAAGGAGAAACTTCAAGTTTATCACGATTTTTCAGTAAAATCAGTAACTTTTCAAAAAGTTCTTCCGTCAGCAGGATGTCCGCTATAACTTTAGAATATCGCTACGATATAATAGTCAAGTCATGAACGAAATGGATAAGGAAAAAGAAAAGGGCCTAAAAGGGCGTATATGTATACTGGAGTATAGTGCGAGAGGGGCTGAGGAAGAGAGATGACGGTGAGTCGTAGGGGTGGAGTATACGAGGGATGGTTAGCGTACATGAGCAGGTGAAATAGGAGGAGGCTGGTAAGTAGATTAAGGTCAGTCCGCATTGAGAGACCGCATTATGCTTGTCAACGAGCTTGTCGCCTGCTGAAATGAAAATAGAAAAGACAAATAATCCATTCTCGTTCTTCCGCTTTATTTAACTAGTCGCACGTCTCCTCACGCCTGGCAGCACGATTTTATTTTATCGATTTCTTTACCTCCATCCTTCTTGTTCAGGTGGATAGGCGACTACGAGAATATAGTTGGACATTTAAGAAATACCGTAGGAAAGTAATCACGTTCAATCATAAAAATTTATTTAATTATTTAACCTAATGAATAGAAACAATAAGACATTTTTATAGCTTGTCTTTTAGATTTTCATAGTGTAAGACACAAAAAAATTAATTAATCATTATTATGACGTAGATTCTTCTTTTTGTGTAATATACGTACACGTATAGATAGTCTTACGTACCAGCGACTGAAGTGCATAGTTTCATGGTACATTCAGGACTTATCACCGCGCAGCTGTGAATGAATTTAACTTTTGAGATTGGTAGACGACAAACGTATAGCTGTACTCTTATTACACTGGAGAACATAGCTCTGTTATTAAAATAACGTATCGTCATTCTGAAAACAGATGGAATAACTTGTGTCCAACTTTTCGAGAACATTTTGGATATAATTTTGAAATGCTTACATATGGGATAAAATTTTCATACAATTTTCTAATAATTTCTTCTCATTCGTTTTCTAAATGGCAAATGAATCTTTAATAAGGTATCAATGCACAGATAAATTTTATTTAAAATAGTACGATTCCACCCCAGAAAAGCAAGTGGAGCAATTCAATTACTCAAATGCAACAAATAGCCAAACCCTAAGATTTTCGTATTACCGTGTATAATATGTTTATAAAAGTTCAACAGGATAGTATATTCCTAGTAATATAGCTGCGATCGTTTTATACATGACTCTAATTGATATTGCCAATATCTTTCAGGCTCTTGTTATTGATACGATTGTACCTGATAGAGAATTATCCATTGTCTTTTTTCGATCAATTCGAAGGAATAAACGTAACGAGTGCTACTATCATTTCTAAGTAAGGGGTGCACTGTTAACGCAATTGATTAAAAAAAAAATATCGATACACCCTTTCAGATAAAACATAATAATATATATTATATATTAAAGAAACACGCGATAAGGTTTACTAGCATTTCCGAACATCGTAGTATGTACATACAATTTTTCAGAATCCTCAATATTTCATTGAACCAATGGAGCCGACTGTGGTACGGAAGAATTAAAAACCAAGTGACGTTCGCGTGCCTTTTCTAATCCGCTAAAAGCAAAAGGGTGGAGTAAGGTTAAACCAGAAGCAAATTGATACGGATACTAAATGAACAAATGAAATACAATGGAATGATAGTCAAAGGTGAAGGAGGAGTAAAGACAGTTTCTAATCGATTCACCAAGAAAGATGCTTTCTAAGAGAAAAACGAAACGGATGGGCGTCTTGTTTGCAGATCTAATGTATTTACTTTGGTGATAGGGAGATGATGCATTTATCATTCAACATATTCGTTTCATGAAACAGCGCTATTCTGACAGCCAGACGAAATCTTCCGTCAGTACTCTGTTGGGCATGATTTTTTTGTACAAAGTATGAGCTGTACATTAATTGTACGAGATTACCATTTTGTTCGTACAATAATAATGAATACGACTTGAGAGAATTTTGAATTGAACGAAATTGATGAAAACGATGATTTATGATTTTAGTCTACTTGGAATGATTGGAATTTGAACCATAAGGATTCAAGTGCCAATTTTACCAGACCTGAATGAAAGTACGAAAGAAAGTTTTACATACGGTAGAATGTGAGGTGTATTATACTCACACGATCATATGGTAGGTGACGGCGTAGGCGCCGCGAGGCCGCTCGAGGAAGTTGTAGACGCGGGCCTGGAGTCGACGGTAGCGGGCATCGCGACGCGTCGCCCGATAGTTCATCGGACGCCCCAACAGTGACATCCGCGGCGCTGCCAGGCGCCCTCCTGCGCCGCCACTCCTGTCAACACAAGAACCACCACATGAACCCCATTAGATCCGAAAGCACATCGTTAAAAGACAACGTCAACTCATCCACGACAATATGCCATCTTTTTAGGAGGCAAAAGACGGATTCATCTAGATTAATATAAGAAATAAGAAAAGTTTCTAGAAATGTTGCTGCTGGCAATGATATACATATAGTTACGATTTATAATGCAGCCTTGGTAAACTTTACACAAACGTATATTTTACAGAGTAATGATGTCGTGGGGCCATCATATCATAACTTTCGATGTAAAAGAGTCCCTCCTGCCATCAAATTTAACCTGAGAATCAACCGTTATGATTGACTATTATCATTTATCATGTTTATTTGTAAGCAGGAAATCTGTAACGTCTGATAAAAGATGTAAATTATTGATGTTAAATTTGGCATAAATAATTGAAATGTTTAATTTGCTCTCGCACGAGATACACTTTCATTTATTGTTAGAAGATTGTTTTATACATTTAGATATAATTATGGAACGTAAATGGCAATTGTCAGTGATATAAATTATAGATATATTAAATTGCCTCAATTTACGTTTAGAATGTTAATAAATAAACACCTGCAAACGGAAATATGACAACTTGGCAGAAAGCCATATTATCGTTGGTAGATTTAAGTCCAACTGAGAAAACTGTTTCCCGATAAGTACAGCAGAAATTCGAAGTCAAATAGTTAATACGATGACGTATATGAAAACGATATTACTCTTGCATATAAATAGATCCATATGGGTATTAATACATCGTTTATATTCCTATGTTTGAAATATTTTATGGACGCAGTCATATACGTTGGCACGTAACAAGCAATATAAGAGTCAAAACAACTTGTCATCCGATAGTTACATTCGCGTAAACAACGTAAAAGGCGCGATCGTTACGCGAAAATAGAATTTGCCGGAAACATAGAATACAAATGGGAATGATCATTTCCGAAAAGCAGCATAAAGTCTTCTAGACGAATTGTCAAGGACATCCAAAAATCGGGCTCTTACGATGAAAGAAAACAAAAAAGAGTGTTAGGTTGGATTGGGTTGGGTTGGGTGAGAATGGTAAAGGAATCCGAGACAGTTGAGAACGTGAATTTCTGTGTTATACTAGAAGCCAGGAAAACCGCTCATATTTTATACGAAAATGCTGTCACGGAAATTCGACAGTGTCTTCGTAGAGTCACTATCCAAACATTCGTAGTAGCGGCTTCCTTCCTTTCTATATCCTGTCTCTCGTAACTCCAGGCGGCAATATAATCTCACTCCAGTGAATGTACCATCTAGCTTCCGAGTTACCGACGACCAAATATCAACCATCTATTCCAGCATCCAACGTTCAACCTTGCTGTTCACCAATAACGCTTTGTCGCAATTTTGCGATTATTCCCTGGCTGCGTCACATGGAAAAGTTTTAGTGTGATTCTTTCGTTCTAAAAGTTCCGCCACTTTTATTTGACTAATGATCTTTATCGATAGAATTCCTTAAACATTATTATTATTTTTTTAGGACCATTTCCTTCTTTCGAAATATAGTCATATAGTACGGTAAGACAGCGATCATTTTTTTTACGTGCAAAAACTTTTGCGATAGATAAGTTATTTTTTTATCAATATATTGACAAAAGAATAGTGTAATTTTTTTTCGAAAGGATTTCCACTTTTCAACGACTTATTACAATACATGCAACGTCCTGTTTGATCACTTCACGATACCTCTATGTATCGTAATATGTATATTATACGTATCATGTATAATGGCGGTTGAAACCCAAGGGATTCCACTTAAGGCCGTAAGGATTATACGGCAACGTAATTGGTAAACGAACCATGTGATTGATGAAAGATAACACTATCTCCTACTCACGATTAATAAATCCATAACTAACAAATGAAGTACGAAAATATTATAGAAACTGATACAACTCGACGGGTACTTATATAGACACATAATATACAATATCATGATGATAGTATAAATTAATTAATAAAAATATCAGGACCAGCACAATCGTTATGAATCAGAATCGCAATAACCATGGAGTCGTTAATCATATTAAAAGAAGATGTTTTAAAAAATGCACTATCTTGAAACTAGAAGTACTGGGCATTTGCAGGTATATTATTGCTGTTTCGTGTGATGCCAAAAGTTGACTTGTACCCTAAAATAAAATTTTGACGGTTATGCGACATAGGACGAATAACTTCAATAAAGACCGTCCAAGCAAGAAGTTGATCACCAAGCATCAAAGACCCTGCTATTCCGAAGGATCTCCCTAATGAATATTCCCTGATGAACAGCACTTGCAAACGAATGAGAGATTTCGTGACGTATGCGGTTGCAGATGCATTGCAGATTGCTAACAGGTGTTGCCATAAATGCATAGAAGAAGAGTACGTGTAGGGAAGGTCTATCGATTAACCTGAATACATGGTATCCTCTAAATTTATTGCCGTCACTTCAGAAATAATCACTGCCTAAGGAATAGGTAGAAGTGGAATAGCCGCTTGACGTTCGCTGGAAACTAATTGTTTCCTTTGGAAGCTCAAGAATTTATACATGTATTATATAGGTATAGCTAGTATGCGGAATTTATTCGTAACCAGTGGGAAGATGCGTTGACTCGTTGGGGGGACCCTGGGATTTCTCGGAGACGCCCTTGTATCTTACTCACTGTCAACTCCTCCTACTGGTTATTACTGTTTTACTCTCGCCCTCCGCACTCTATTATTAGCCGATCGCTCAACACTAAACTATCTTCTGGACGGACTGTCGCTTGTCACTCTGTGACCTCAACGCATTGCGCTTCTGCAGTACTATTATTGTACATGAGGTTAGTACACTCTTTGAGTGTAAAAAAAAATGAAATAGTGTAAAAAAAATGAAGAAATGAAAAAATGAAATAAAAAAATGAAATAGATGACATATGTTGATTATATTTATCATTTTAAAGATAACGTCTTTACGAAAAAGGAACAAGCACAAAAATTGTATCTTTTATTAAAATATTATGTTTCAAGTCATTCTTTGAAGTATATTGAAATCGGTATTGTTGATGACTTGGTGCTCTGAAATATCATCGTTCATTCAAAAAATACTCCGTGCCCTATTATATCTCTGTATATGAAAATATTCTTAGCTGTTAGGCCACTGTTGTAATCAGACAATACAACTCACTATACCCGTGTAGAATTTTTTTAGAATTCCCAAAGACCATACGAATCAATATCAAGATATATAAAAGATTTTGTAAATGTGGAAATTTGCCACAGTGGAGTGACCAAAAACACGGTGACAAGATCTAGGTGAAAAGTCATGACTCATGACTCTATGTCGTAGAGAATTCAGGTGAGAATGGTTTCAGGATGCGGACGAATGTGGCTAAGAGGAATATAGTTCTGATCATAATGTGGCTGGGTCGTGATGTCCCTCACAAAAATGTCACATAAGTAAAATATAGCAAAAAAAATATTTTTTATCATATATTATGTATATCTTGAATATACAGTACTTTACCGCATATATGTATAATATTCCATATATGTATACATATGTAGAGTATACATATTTTACACGTACCTGAAATATACCTGTAAAATAAAGAGGGAATAAATAATCCTAGATAAATCCTACATGTATTATCCTAGTCGGAATATTCTACAGGTACGTATTGCGCATATTATGTCGTCGAATATTTTAATGTTGATTATTTGGACACGACATCATCAAAATGCTATGATGATTTCTTAAGGTCGCACTTACGACGTACACGTATCATAAAGGATATGCACATATAATAAGTTCGATCATTGTATATGTAGCACCTTTATTAAAAAAAAAAACATCGACGAAGAATTTATTGACGCGGAAGAAAAAATGCTTTACTTAGATACTAAGAACGTTCCTACCTAATGAAAATATAATAACTAATAAAATTGTACTACCAGACATCTTGGACTTAATCTACACCAATCACAACTCCTACAAGCTATATTTTCCCATAGCCGACAAAGCAAATCTGTAAATCTGCCGAATCGGTAAGCAAGGGGTGAAATCATGCCTGGCAGCCTCCACTATTTTTGGATCCCGTAATATTTGTCGATCAAATATTTACCAGCATAGTGTGGAAGTTCTAGCTACTTTTCTGATTTCTCTGGTTCTTCCTTGTTTTTATACTGGCTCGCTTCTCCCACCCATCGTCCCACATCCGACCCACCTTTTACTTCTTTCACACGTATTTCGCATGATTCGAACGTTTATTTATCGCGATCTCATTTGCATGACTCTTCAATTTCTTCATTTATTAGCCACTGGTCATTAGATACGTACTGCAAGCATTGTAAATGAAAAGTGTGACTTTCTATTCATTTATTCACATTTTTATTGTTCATTACTTTAATTGATCCCGGTATTCAATCCGCATGAGAAAAAATCGCTTCACAAATATGGTCAACCAGAAGCAACGAGTACAGTTTTTAAGTAAATAAAATTATATTGCGTTGTCATTAAGTTGAATATTTATTGTAAAAATCACGCTTATCTAAATAAACATTCGAGTTACGTTAATACGTTATTTACTAGGGTTGACTGCGACTTTAGACATTAAAAGAATTTTTAATTTTATTCAATTGTTTATTTACCTAAGAAGTACTTTTGAATAGTTTCTTATGCATCCAATGGCATGTCTTGATATTTCTTTGCATTTGCGTTTGGAATTGACAACGTTAGCTTGGAATACCTGGACATTACAAATTTGTTATGGTCATTATAAATTAAGAATAATGACAACGATGAAGCATACAGAAAGACAGTCAAAATAATGATAGGTGAACACCGGGACATAGAAAAATGTATTATGAGTAATTAGACAAAAAAAATATATAAATTGGAGTACCTCCAAATTAGGAATATATATTCCACGCATAGACAAGATCATGCATACATGATTTGATTGTAACAATGAGTGCATTTGATATT